AAAAAAAAAAAAAAAAAAACCTAAACGAATCAAAGTCAAAACCAGAAGTCAATCCGAACAATTAATCAATAGACTAATGAGATTCAACCTTCTACTCAATATCCAACTTTACCCTGTCCCCAAAATCTTGTTCCCCCTCCCCATATCACCCTGAACTGCCAAACATTTATTTAAATAAATAAATACATAAATAAATAAATAAATAAATAACACAGCCAAAACCCAACTGGGGGCAACTTGGAGGACAAATAACTTTCTGAGCTGTAGCAATGCTTAACAAGCGCCGGCCAGTGCACTTCCCTTGACCCCCTATCTAACTGGGCAGTTCCTGGCGGACTGTCCGGGGGGGGTCATTGTACATTCAAAAACCTAACCCTAACCCTAACCCTAACCCTAACCCTAACCCCTAACCCTAACCCTAACCCTAACCCTAACCCTAAACCCTAACCCTAACCCTAACCCTAAAAATTCAACCTGAACTCTAAAAATTAACCATAAACCTTAACCCTAAGTACCCACAACTTGGACCCATTTCTCAACCTCTCCAAATACTCCCTAGGATTCACGACATCAGGAAGCACAGCCACAACATCTAAACGAATTAAAGTCAAAACCAGAAATCAATCCGACGGGCTAAGCAACAGGTTAATGAGACTCAACCTTCTACCCAGTATTTACACACACCCACACAAAATAGAGAAATTAACAAATAAATAACCTGATCCTAATCCATAAAAGTTTAGCCCGAACTACTGCTCTAAGCAGGTCAGGAAAAACCTTACTCAGGAAGAATGACTTAAACCAGAATAACTTCCACACCCAGCTGGGAATAAAAAAAAGAAAGCCCAACCTCGGGGGAGGGTTACAGCCAAATGTCAACAGTGAAACCTCAAACGTAATACGACCATCTTAACCCTAGACATCTAAGAACCACCTCCAACTGAATACCATCTCCACAGCCCATTGGGGATAACACTGTGATCCACCAACTATAAAACCTAATCGGGTTAGACTCGATTGGTTGTTAAATCAGCAGACGCCAAGCCGGGGTCTGCTACAGGAACAATAGCTACGCTTAACATGCGCCGGCCCGTGCACTTTCCTTGGTCCCCTATTCAACCACGCAATGAATTTGTGATGGGGGGATCATTGTATTCTTACAAAAACCTAACCCTAACCCTAACCCCCTAACCCTAACCCTAAACCCTAACCCTAACCCTAACCCTAACCCCTAACCCTAACCCTAACCCTAACCGTTACTCTAACCATAGCTCTGAAACCGAAAACTCATCATAAAAACCATAACCGTTATAACCATAACAACCTCAGTCTTAAGTACCCACAACTTCAACCCATCTCCCAGCCTGAACCTCTCCAAATACTCCCTAGAACCCACAACATCAGCAAGCACAGCCAAAAAACCTAAACGAATCAAAGTCAAAACCAGAAGTCAATCCCACGAAATAATCAATAGACTAATGAGATTCAACCTTCTACTCAATATCTAACTTTACCCTGTCCCCAAAATTTTGTTCCCCCTCCCCATATCACCCTGAACTGCCAAACATTTATTTAAATAAATAAATAAATAAAAAACACAGCCAAAAACCCAACTGGGGGCAACTTGGAGGACAAATAATTTTTTAAGCTGTAGCAATGCTTAACAAGCGCCGGCAGTGCATTCCCTTGACCCCCTATCTAACTGGGCAGTTCCTGGCGGACTGTCCGGGGGGTCATTGTACATTCAAAAACCTAACCCAGCCAGAGCCTCGGACCAAGCATGCTATCAGACTCACAGTAGCACAAAAAGCTAAGCTCACTATATCCTCGGCAAGCCTAGCCGACAACTCAACCCACACAAGAGTAATCCAAAATAAATAAACAGCTTAAACGTTAAGCCGCCTTCCCCCCCCCGCCCTTTGTCCATCGAGGGATGGCTTGAGGCTGTATGGTGAACGGAACAATGCCCAGTCTGGCATAGGGGGATGACCTGCTCAGTCCAGTGGCTCGCCCTCGTTCCACCACCTTCCACTCTGCCCACTCCTGCTTGAACTTGGTGGATGCTCCACCTCTAATATTGAAACACTTCCAGAAAAATTGATACTGAAACTCACCCCGCCTTCAACAATCCTGACCATAACTATTCGTACATCCCTAATCCTAAACGAATCAAAGTCAAAACTTGAAGTCAATCCGACGAATTGATCAACATTCAGCGAAACTTATGTTGTCTGTAATTGTGCTTTGACTTCAGACAGCGTGCTGCGCAAATCCTCTAACTCCAGCTGCATCTTGCTCATGTTATCCGCCATCTCCTTCATCTGTTTTCCAGCATCCTTTTTTCCTGGCGTGGCCGTGACTGGACTTTGAGGCGTGGCTGTGACTCGAGACTTCACATGCACTGGACATATGGCAGGGACTGGAGAAGTGACGAGGAGAGGAGATGTGATGAGGACTGGAGATGTGACAGGGAACGGAGATGTGACCGGGAATTGAGACTCAGCCGGCTGTGCTGTGGTGTTAGCATTTACCTCCCTTTGTTGTCTCACATGCGCATAATGTTCGTCGGAAAGGGGTCCAGCATCGATCGGCCAAATAACATCTCCAAGCACTTCATCCAGGTCGTACTGTAGTCCACGCTCTCCAAATTCCTCAAAAAACAGATCCATGAACTGTTGGACATTCTCCAGCACTCCGGGTCTCCAGCAAGCCGGATCGTAAAAGCGAGATGTGATGAACCGCACAAACTGTCAATCGGGCGGTTTCGGTTCACTCAGGCTGGAGAAATAGCTCTGACAGTCACGGATGAAGAACTCCAAACCGCCGTAACGACCAGAGTATCGGTCCGGCATTTCTTCCCTAAACTGCTGCGGAAACTGCACTGAATCCAGGGCGGGGATACCAGTTGGTGAGTCGCAAGTTCGACGTCCTTGCCGTGCTTCCATGGCTTCTCTGGTGAGGCGGTTGGCTTTCTTCCTCATAATCTGCTACTCCCTTTTCGTGGCTCATGATTCTGTGATGGTTCGGGACCGTGTTGTAGATGGAGGCAGACTCAATACGGGCATAGGCGCAAATCAATGCTTTATTTAATAATACTCACAACGCGTACACTCTTTAGTTCAAAATAAAGCGCGGAAAACATAACGTCAACTTAAAGTCTCCCACATTTAACTCCAACTTAAACAACGGTCTATACATACATATATATATATATATATATATATATATATATATATATATATATATATATATATATATATATATACTGTACAATCACGAGCGATGCGCTCGGGAAACACAGGCACATAAATAAGGCAGGTAATCAAACTAAACCCCAACACCTGCTGTGATATTGCGTTCACGCGCAGACTAACTACGCCTGCATGCGCCTGCCTCAACTGCGCCCCAGCGGCCTCTAGCGGCCGTAGCGTGACACCATGAAAATGCAATAAATGATTAATGCCAAATATATACCTATACATGCACATGATACAGCTCACTGTAGCTGTTGCTGGTCAGAATTTGGGCTTCTGTTGGAATATGACCCCCATGTTGTTTTAAAAGCTCTGTTTTCTTTGCCTCTTTAAGATCTCGGATGTCATCCTTGTCCCATTCAAAGATACAGCTGGACAACTTAGAGCAAAAAGTACCATACATTGGATGGTACTCTGTTGTAAAACCAGTAGTGAATCTCCTCATGAAGTGGAAAACATCAAGTCTCACTTTGACTTTCCATGGTCGAAACCAGGTAAGATCTGGTGTTACACCTGTTCCAGTGAAAGACAAGGAAAGAATTTATGCATTTTCTTCTATTTCAAGGCTATGAGAGCCCAAGTTCAGGGTTCCCAAATTCATGGAAAACTTTGGATAAAAGCGTCTGCTAAGTGAATAAATGTAAATGTAAGGATCTAGTTGCCTGAGAATCTCCATACTCAAAGAGCAGACAGGAATCATACACTTATTGCAACGAGGGTCGTCTGCTCCAATTAGGTAGTATCTGGAGTCAATATCAGTGACTTCCCTCCGTTTTTGTAGATTCCCGAGTGGTGCATCTTCCTATCGCATTGCGTGCATTTCAAAGGAATGCCCCACATGCGCATTGGTGCCCACAAAAACATGCGCTGTCGAAAGTAGCTATCTGGATCAGGGGGGAAGTTGTGGGCTTGCAAGGTGCTGGGATGGTGAATTTTTTTTAAAAATTGTTGTTTACTGTCCGTTGTTGTCATAAATACACTGTAATATCCATATCTGCTCTGCTTATATAATTACTCTACTGAATTGTTCGGGGAGAAAACTCGCCCAATTTATTTCTGGAGGCCTCAGGTTAAAGGGTGTTGTGGATGGTGTGTGGGGTAAACTTTTTGGAGCTCCTTGGGTGTAAATGGGTTTGTTTGAATGACAAGCATTGTATTTGATCAATTGGCAAAGTGTCAGTACAATAGCAGGTATGTAACAACTGTGAACAGCAATTAATGCATAGTGAGGAATATTGCTAGCCAAGTACTGGCCTTTTTGAATGGCAAACCAAACTTCGGACGCAGTTGGCACCTGCGCAGGGAGACCCCAATGGATTTCTAGTCCATCGCCTTAACCACTCGGCCACAACTACATAAAAAGCCATGCTTCAGCGTGGACCAATGTCTGAACGTATTACCATGCAATTTGTTTTTTCGGCAACAAAGCAGTGGAGTTGGTTCCCTTGGCAACCTTCTACGCACAGTGCCATGAAATCAAAGCCATTCTTTGTAAGCATCTAAACTATGCAGGGACCTTTCAGGTGATCTATTTATCTTTCAACAAAGTGCAGCATGTCAGAAGTGGGATTTGAGCCAACGCCTCCAGAGGAGACTGCAACTTTAACGCAGTGCATTAGACCGCTCGGCCTTCCTGACTAAACAACCCAAAAGCTATGCAAAGGAAATTCCAAACTATGCAGGGGCATTTATTTAAACAAGATCTTAGGACCAGCCCAATACCCCCTCATCAGCAAAGGAAGCAAATGTCAGAAGTGGGATTTGAACCCATGCCTCCAGGGGGAAACTGAGACCTGAACACAGCCCCTTAGACCGCTCAGCCATCCTGACACACGCAAGCTACAGCATCGAGTATCATGCTCGGGTATAGCCAATACTTTCCAAATAAAGCACAATTAGATTACTTGAAATAGAAGCACTGATTTCATCAATAAGTGCTACTCTTTGAGGCAGTCTCATCTGTGTATTTGACATTACTTACTTTGTGTGAGTCCTGCAATGTTTCTCTGCTGAAAGTCACCCTAATTGTAGCACATTTACTGCAGTTTTAAATACGTTGCTAGCAAGTTGGGGCATAAGCGTGAGCTGTTGGTTTGAAGGTGAAATCAGTGTCAGGTGTTTTCAGTCTATGGCATAACAATCAGGTGTGAGTGAGTACCCTGTCTGATTTGAGGAACAGGGATCAGTCAAAGTCTGACCTTCACAACACATGTTTGTTAAAGTGTATAATGCTATGCAAAAAAATTATTTGTGAGGATCTGGGAAAAGGCTTTCGGATGAGGTAGCCGAGAGGTTCAGCCGATGGACTCCTAATCCATTGTGCTCTGCACGAGTGGGTTCAATGCAGCGGAGTTGGTTCCCCAACGGCCGTCTACGCACAGTGCCATGAAATCAAGCCTGTGCTATCATTTGAAGCCTAGAATTGGCAGCAATGAACAGTTATTAACCACAGTGTGGCAAACAGAAGCTTCAAACTGTTTGTAAGCATCTAAAATATGCAGGGAACTTTCAGGTGATCTATTTAAATATCTTATCATGCAAAGAGGGACTACATTATGATTGGTCTTAGTGACTCTCAACAAATGAAAAAGAATGAAAAGGTGGTCACTGGTAAACTCTCAGTGGACAACTTCTGGGATAGCAGGCATGCAGAGATTATATTTGTTGTGGTAAACATGGCAGGAGAAGATGCAAAGAAGAAGACCACCTCTCTGTCTTATTGTCACAGTTGATATCCTATCAATGGCTCTGACCTTCCTGAATGGTAAGTACTATTTGTTGGGGTGATTTTTGGGTGATTCAAGCAACTAAAGATACTATATATTTGTTTACAATGTTTTAAACGTTAAACAGTTTGGGCAAAATCCAATACTTTCAAAAGAAACCACAATTCGATTTCTTCAAATAGGAGCAACTTGATTTACAAATCTTGATTTGATTTGAGTGTTTCTCGTTGGGGCGGTCTCATCTGTGTATTTGACTTTACTGTCTTCTGTGACTGCTGCAATGTATCTCTGGGTGTTACCCCGATTGTTTCACATATATTTCAGTTTTAATGTGATTTTCTGAAAGCTTTGATACCTTTCAGCAACAGCAATAATATGAAATATGAAAATTCAGGTTACTCAGAATGAAAAGCATTCCATTTGTTCAATTGGCAAATTCTCATGCAGCTATGTAACAACTGTGAACAGCAATTAATGCACATGAAGTTTCATTGAGGAAGATTGTCACCATTGCTATTCCCTGTACTGGCCTGCCTGAATGGCAAACCAACCTTCAGACGTAGTTGGCAGGATTTGAACCTGCGCGGGGAGACCCCAATGGATTTCAAGTCCATCGCCTTAACCACTCGGCCACAACTACATAAAAAGGCTGAACGTATTTCCATGCACTTTGTTTCAGAAATGTATAGGCTTCCCACTTAGGGACACTGCTCGGGTATTTCGGCAACACCATAACAAAGCAGCGGAGTTGGTTCCCTGGCAAAACGTCTACACACAGTGCCATGAAATCAAGCCTCTGGTTTCATTTGAAGCCCTAGAATTGGCAGCAATGAACAGTTATTAGACACAGTGTGGCAAACAGAAGCTTCAAACTGTTTGTAAGCATCTAAAATATGCAGGGAACTTTCAGGTGATCTATTTAAATATCTTATCATGCAAAGAGGGACTACATTATGATTGGTCTTAGTGACCCTCAACAAATGAAAAAGAATGAAAAGGTGGTCACTGGTAAACTCTCAGTAGACAACTTCTAGGATAGCAGGCATGCAGAGATTATATTTGTTGTGGTAAACATGGCAGGAGAAGATGCAAAGAAGAAGACCACCTCTCTGTCTTATTGTCACAGTCGATATCCTATCAATGGCTCTGACCTTCCTGAATGGTAAGTACTATTTGTTGGGGTGATTTTTGGGTGATTCAAGCAACTAAAGATACCATATATTTGTTTACAATGTATTAAACGTTAAACAGTTTGGACAACATCCAATACTTTCAAAAGAAACCACAATTCGATTATTTCAAATAGGAGCAACTTGATTTACAATACATACATGAGTGCTCGTTGGGGCGGTCTCCTCTGTGTATTTGACTTTACTGTCTTCTGTGACTGCTGCAATGTATCTCTGGGTGTTACCCCGATTGTTTCACATATATTTCAGTTTTAATGTGATTTTCTAAAGGCTTTGATACCTTTCAGCAACAGCAATAATATGAAATATGAAAATTCCGGTTACTCAGAATGAAAAGCATTCCATTTGTTCAATTCTCATGCAGGTATGTAACAACTGTGAACAGCAATTAATGCACATGAAGTTTCATTGAGGAAGATTGTCACCATTGCTATTCCCTGTACCCCAATGGATTTCAAGTCCATCACCTTAACCACTCGGCCAAAAACAGGGCAAAAGGGACTGCTAGGCATGGGGGAAAAGGGGGGAAAAGGGGGGAAAGAGGGAGGGAAAGAGGGAGGAGTGAAAATGTTATCTATCCATCCTAGTGTTCTCAAAAATGACAGTTAATAACAGTTAAAAACCTCATCCCTAACAGATATACCAATAATACTTGATCAACATGGAAGACACACTTGTTTTCCCAAATCCTCTTTATTACATAAGCTCAGATTTAACACTACAAACATCAGTAACGTTATAAACATCAATAAACTTATAAACATCAGTAATGTATAAACATCAGTAACATATAACATCAGTAATATATAAACATCAGTAACGTTATAAACATCAGTAACATATAAACATCAGTAATATATAAACATCAGTAATCATATAAACATAATAATACTATAAACATCAGTAACATTATAAACATCAGTAACGTATAAACATTAGTAACATATAAAAAAATTAGTTATTGAACAAAGTGGCACACAAAGTCAGTTTTAAAGGGTGGCTTTCCACTCTGTGATGGTTTGCCCAGATTCGGGACAGTACCATTTCCCTCTCAACTGGGTATGGCCAGAAAGTTTGTTTTTTGCTTGACCACAGTCTTTACACTGATAGTGGTAGCCTTCGTTGTAGTGCCGCTTTTTAGGCGGTTCCCCTTTAGCCACACGCTCCTGATCCTCAAGTACTGTCTTTCGCAGTCTCCACTCACGGTGACGATTCCGAGAGGGTGCTGCCAAGATAGGAGCTGACGGTTGTCCCTGTGGATAGGTCGACCATCCCTGAGGGACTGGCTCTGGATTTGGTGGTTGTCCCAGTGGATATGGCGGCCATGCCTGAGAGAGTGGCGCTGGATTTGGTGGTTGTCCCAGTGGATATGGCGGCCATGCCTGAGAGAGTGGCGCTGGATTTGGTGGTTGTCCGGTGGATAGGGCGGCCATGCCTGAGAGAGTGGCGCTGGATTTGGTGGTTGTCCCGGTGGATAGGGCGGCCATGCCTGAGAGAGTGGCGCTGGATTTGGTGGTTGTCCCTGTGGATAGGGTGACCAGCCAGAAGAACTGACCCTGCCGGAATCCCACTCAGGACAATTCTGTGTCCCAGGCCAGTAAAGATGTCCTACCCCAGTGTGTGTGTGCATGGTGGAAGACACTGCAGTCCCAGTTCTGCCACAGTGACGTCGGCGAATCATTGCCTCACCCTCATGGTTTTCAGGCTCCTTGAACTCCATGACTGCATGTCCATGCTCCACAGGTGAAGATGGGAGACTCCTAGCATTTGGCAGGGAATCCTTTGCCGAATTTACCTGCTGAGGAAGCTGCACTCCTTGCAGCAAGGAGTCCCGGTCAGTTCTCTTTTTTCGGTCAAGCAGCCTGTGGGTGGGGGGACGGATTAGACAGTTTTAGTAATTGAACTGAATTGCATAAGATGTTCTCAATAGAATGAACTTGCAGTTAATTTTTATTTCTGTATATTGTTCATACAAATATATCACAAATGTTTTACAATTGAAATGAATCAAGGAAGCCAAAACACATCTCACCAAGAAGAGACTGTGGTGTTGTTTATTGTTACTAGCACTAAGTTGGTCTGGTCCAGTAACTCTCTGCAGTCTTCAAGCAGCTGTTTGATGTGACTGTATGTCATGACAATTGCCTGGGGAATGGGAAAGGTTTTCCCCTTGTTATCTTTTGGCCTATTTCTGGCTTCCCGATATTCTTTCAGAATATTCTTTTCAGAATATTGCCAGTATGCATTGTAGTCCAGCTTCTAAACAGCACAAATTTTGTGTTGAGTGTTACCGGTGGGTTTCCCAGGGGGTATGAATTCTGGCAGGAGTGCACATTCGAGGACTCTGTTGCTGAGGACGTTCAAGTGAGACATCAAACGCACATCATAGATTTTAGTTTGTGATGTACCACTCCTATCCACAGCTTGATAAGCTCGGTTGATGTTCCATCTAGATGCCCCCTCAAGCATGTACATCTGAGTGTGCAGAGCATTACATCTCCACCCTGAAAAGACAAGATGTTTCACATTATTTAAATACTAATTGCATTTAGTAAATTATTTCCCCTACTTAGTTAATATATATATATATATTTTCCTCCACAGACAAATACATAAGATAATTAATTTCTTGTGATTAAGAATTCAATAGCAACCATGAAAATACAATAAATGATTAATGCCAAATATATACCTATACATGCACATGATATTTTCATACAATTTCAACTTACCTGGAATAAAATTGCACTGGTGGCGATGAAAGCTTTCCAGAGAAGAGGACCCTCTGCCACACCTCAGAACATCCAGGACCTTGTCTCCCTTCTGTAACCCAAAGCCCATTTTGGTGTAAAGCTGAACACCGGGTGGATCTTGGATGCATGGCAAGTGCTTTTGTTGAACCTCCCACACGCGT